GTTCGGAAACTTTTAGATTTAAATAGTAACTCTTTGAAGAACAAAAAATTGAATAATAAAATGAACTCGTTTTTTTCCTTTACTTAATTAAAAATATACTGTTTCTACTTTATAAAATTACTTTACTTATAAAATAAAACTGAAGATAAGAAGAGTGATCCAAGGAATAACTTTATATTCCTTCTTATTAAAAAAGTTTTCAACGCCTTTGCCTGCCTCCGGGACATCAAAATATAGTGACGATGGGGTTAAATCGGAGGGTAACTATCACGTTCGGGTCTTTGCCCTTTTTGAAAAGTCTGCGGTTCATATGCTTCTCGCCCTCTTTCTGTCGCCCTTCCTTCCGCGCATTTGCCTTCCTAGCAATTGCCCGACCACTACCACCCCGACCATCTTCTCCTGGCTGTTACCGTCTGGCCGCGGTTATTGGCTGCTATATTCGCGGAGGTGACATAAATTATTGCTACATTCTGGTAAGCGAGCACGGCTTGCTTCTCCACTTTTTACGACAATTGCGAACAGCTTCGACCGCTTTCACTCGTGTAAAACAGTATCGAGGGAAAGGTCAACCCCCGAACCATCTAGGTCAATTCTTGAACTAAGAAGATTTAAAATGTTTACCCTTTTGAATCCAGAAATTTCTTTTCACTTTCAGAAATATCGAAATCTCTATATAAAGATATTCGCATTTCTAATTTATAATACATTTGTAGAACATATATGTTAAATATTAGAGGCGAAGAAATAAATGGCGACTTATCATCATATTTTCTAAGCTAAGAAAAATTGATCTCGAATTTATCAAATCACGAACTTCCATTAAAACTTGGTGCGGTAGCATTAGGACACACCGTGCATATATTACTAACAAGTCACAGTAAGATCGGATAACTTGTCAGAAGTTCTTAAACATAGTCGGTACTTTCCGTTAGCCGAGTTTCTAAGCTTACTGCATTATTTCGTCATTTTCACGAGAAGTAATTATTTTATAGGTTTCTAGCGTGTTTTTCAATAAAATTTCAACACGTCGAAAGAGAAACTTTCTCGCGCGAACAGTTGTCGAGATTACAAATAAATTTTTGTTCCTTCGTGACAATTTCCTGTTTCAGCAAATAGTGTTTACAGCAAAAACGTGTTTCATCGTTTACCGTTCAACCTTGCATTCCCCGTCTATCGTCTATGCGTTGTTCTGTAATAAAAATACTCGAAAATGGAGAACTACTTAAATTAAATTCAGCTCTTACACGTGTGTACATTGCAATACAATTTACACCGTCCCGTGCGACAGACCGGTGTAACCATATAAGAAGAAATAAAAGACTCGGGAAGCAATTTCGAACAAATTAAACGAACTGTCCCTTTGTGCAGTAGTTCTTCCCCAGTTGACACTAAAAATATAAAATATAATCAAACTGTTTTTCGATATCTAGGAGTTTGGATGAAAGAAGTGGATGAGACGGCGACAAAAAATTTGTACAAACTTATACTATTTTTAAAGTAACTATATGGAGTATATGGACTGTGGTGGAATAAGGGCACTGCCGGTTTCGTAATACAAAAAACTAGAAAAAGAAAAATCACGATGTTGTTGAAAATTGAATAGCGTATTGTTGGTTTCCGGTGGCGTTATTGATATGCCAGATAAAAATCTGCCCGGTGCTTGAAACCGTGTAAGTTATTGATCGTTATATGCACCGACTTCTCTACAGAGGAACGCGTACGGTCCTTTGTAAACCCAGTCGTGGATTTAATTATTTCTATTTGCTCGTGACCCGTTGCTTTTGCTCGAAATATTTTATTTACAAGTTTTATGGCGTAAAAGTTGAAAAATTAATGCAAATGTTTGAAAAATTCAGTCCTTTAAGTGTCAGTAAATTCAAATGTAACCGCAATTAAAATTGCATTAAAAAAAGATGATTATTTTTAATTAAATAGTCTAATTTGCACGTTAAAGAGTACGTATATTTTATTTCATCCTGTTTCTCACAAGAGAAAAGTTTGTCATATAGAGGGAATATTACCCCTGTGATCGGTCTTTCGTGCGATATTTGCGATTTTTATATTTAAAAATAAATGTGACAACAGTTTACATCGCAATACTTAAAAGTCCCATAAAAGGTCTAGATATCGTTCAGACGTTAAAGCCCTTTTCAAATTAATTGGAAAAACACGTTCTTTTTAATTGATACTCGCGAAACGTATTCAGCCCAGCAGAAAGCCCGATGAAAACCCGATTTATTCCTTTATACCTCTTTGCCCTCCGGCCTGTAACCGAGCGGCGCCTCTTGAAAAGTAATAAAAAAATTTTTTCCGCGGAATTAATGACCGATCGAGATATGGCTCGTTGTAACGGGATCATCCCGGGAAAACGTTCCAGAAAGATTGCCATTCTACTAAAGACTCTTAGATCCTTCGGTATCGATATCGCGTTGAAAGAAACGGAAATGTCACGGCGACGTGCACGTTCCTTCAACACGACGACAGACAATGCTGAGCTCAGCGCTCTGTCGCGAACTCGATCGATATGTCGTGAACTGTGTAGACGCGTTGCCTCGTGGCGACGTGATCTCTTCCATCGCCATGCCACTGCCGTGACGATACCGTTGATACCGCGCTATTGTAGCACCGGCGTGTAATGATATCGCTACTCGGTGCGGAAGGAGGCCCCGATGCGTCTTGCTATAAATCTTTCACAAAGAGCCTCTGTTTCTTGACACGAGGAATTACGTCGTGTTAAATTCCCTTTGTTACGGAATATCTACTTATAAAGTAAATCTACTTATACAGTATTTCTCTCGGGTGTAAAGACGATACGGGGGACTTCTCGACGTAAGCCTCTTTCGTGGAAGTTGCGTCTTTTCCGTTTGCTTCCTCTTCCTCTCTCGTCTCATTTGTTCCTTTCTATTGTATTGGGAAACCGCGTTATCTTTTAATCCGCATTCCCTGGCCCGCTCATGTAATTGAATGAGATTGTCTAAATCTCTTTATGTTCACTAAAGTCTTCATGTAAAGCGAATAAACCATAATCATACGATTCATACGCCACGTTTAACGCTAAATATTCCAGGATAACGCGAGCCATTAGCTTTTACAACCGACATTCGCGCTGTATTTATCGTGGAAACTTGGTGGAAACTACTTATTTTAAATGTAGGAATTGTTACATATTTATACGAACGGTGCTGAAGAAAGAAAACGCGTTAAATTGTGATAAATGCGTTAAAAAGATATATTTAGGCGAGCGAATTCAGGTACACTTAAACGCGAGAACATCGCAAATATTTCATACGCATTTTCTTACCCGACGCTTTACTCACCTGTTTTCTACTAAAAATACCCTTTATATCGAAATTGCCTTTAAAAATTATATTAGAATTATAAACGTTACTTAATTCCCCCGCACTCTCTCTTCTGCGCCTGTGCTACCCATGAAAATCCCCGTGGGCGCACAGAGGATTCTCGGCAGGTCGTAGACAATCTCTGGGAACACATATCCGTCGCATGCACACATGCGAGAACTGCATGCAGCCTGGCTCCGTTTCTTGTCGTGTTTTGGGGTTTCGTGACGCGGATAAAAGCTCGCAAAAGGCGCTCGATAACGTAACAAACAATGGACGATGCTTGGACGAGCAGCGTTCGACGATGAGAAACGAAGACTTCGGGGACTCTTAAAGAGACTCTTTCCACGGCCTTTTTATAGCCCGAAGGGAACGCGGGAAAGAATCCCCGTTTAATCGCTACCGATTACGGCCGATCCACGAAGCTGCTCTTAAACGTCATTGCCGCCAGATAACTTTAGTAAAACCGGCTTGGTCAGCAAGCTATAAGAGATGGGAAGACTTACGAACAAATAATATCGTAATGTACTTTATCAGCATGTACCGTAACACGCCATTCAATGCGTTATAATTCATATCCTGCGGATACACGTTCTTTTAAATTTCGAAATGTAATATTTTACGTATAAACATCATACGTAGAACAAATAAAATATAAATAAGCAATTTTGGTGAAATTGCAATAAATATGTAATGTGCAGCGACGTGTTCTACGTTAAAATAAAAAGCAGCTACTAAATTGTAATATATACTGATAGCAATATTTACGCCACATGTTATTAATGAAATGTGGGAGTAAATGTCATATTATTATCTAATAATATAAAATAAAAGCTTCGGCAAAATAGAACGCGTTTTTTTTTTAGTGAAAAAGTTTTAAGCGCGATTCGAATGTATTCAACTGATATATTTCTCAAGTTTCAGTCTAGAAAAGTATCGGCGCCGTTCTTCACGTCGATAATGAGCGAATTATTGCTATGGCTAAGACGAATGGATCGAATGATAAACGTCCGTGCTATAGCTTGTCTAAAAGATTATAAGATATTTTAAGTCTTCGATATTTTAAGCTCGATCTCTTCAAGCAATTTAAGATAAAGATTATTTCTTTAATGGAAATGTAGCTCTATCTTCTTATCTGCTGTAACATTTTATTACTAATTTTATATATTATCTGTAATATATAAAATTATACATTACCTTGCTGAGATTTCAAAATTTACAAAACGTTAGATATCTAAAAGTCCAAGAGTTTAGCGGTAAAAGTATAAATATCAGAAATTCAAGATTCCAAGGATTCAAACTTGTGAAAGCGCTTCAAGAATGTCACATTCAAAAGATCCAAGTTCGTAAATATGTCAAGTATCAAATATCTAAACATATAATAAATTCAGTTCACAGACGCGGATGTAGATAGTTCAAGATTCGGAATTAAAAGAAAAAACGAGTAAAAAGAGTGGATATGGTAACGTGTCCAAGAAATCAATAATATACTCCACCATCAATCAGCTATTTTTTGCCAACGGGATATTGAAGGAAAATGTTGCAAGATATAACGTATGTTTCTCGCATATCGTGTGCATTTTATGAAACGGTTGAGAAATGTGGTGAAGAATTGCTAACATCGTAAAGAGACATGAAGGAAATAAAGTAAGTGATTCGATCTAGAGTAACATACACTGTAAAAGAATTTTATTTATTTAATTCCACTCTTTCTCTAGACGCTCCTTTAAAATGCTTCCCTTCTGCTTTTTCCATCTTCGCCCGTCTTTGCCGACTTTAATGGCACTGGAGCTGACCTGAAATCAAATTGAATATTTTTCTACGTCAGTAAATCTTTTGGTGTTTTTGCTCGCCGCCTTTTGCGACTACATTCGATCTTCTTTGAATCTTTTCAATGATCACAGAGCAAGAATTCAAGTCTCCAATAACGCGTGTGTTTCCACAGAAATATATTGATTAAAAATTCTATATTTTTCGAGATTTGTACCAAAAACGTGCAGAAGTAAAAACAAAATAAAATTCTAAATTCGTATATCGGTATACGTTCGTAATTTGTCGAAGTTAAATGAAGGGGAGAATTCTTTACAGGATATCTTATCATTGTTAGAAAGTACTTCACCGATAGAACTCTTTAACGAGTTTGCGAAACAAATTTTACTTAACGACTTGAAGACAAGTATTTTTAATTGCTGTTGAGATAGCTTAAAGATTAAGAATTCAAGGGTATTTAAGAGTTTGAACGATTACCGTTCGTCGCAATGACGGTTAATAGACGTGCACATTTCCTAAACAGGTTTCAGAGCAAGATATGTATTAAAGGAGGAATTACTGTAGAATAAATCAAGCTGGGATTTTGATCTTGCAGGTAGGACGGGAACGAGGGAAAGAAATGAGAAGTAAAGGACGAGAAATGGTAGAGCAGAAAAAAAAAAGAAAAGAGCACGCGTTACGACTTGGCGCCGTATCAGGGCGCTTCCCCGATTTTTCGCCAGCCTCGAGAATAAAAACGCGTCTTGATTAAGACCGTCTTAATTAAGAGCGTTTCTCTTGCTCGGTTACCTTCATACACGGCTATTTTATTCAGTAATATTCACTTATCAATTTATTACGACCTTACTTAACCAAGTATACGCGACGTATCGTTTTTATTTTATCCTCCCAAGCCGTGTATCTTCTGTCATATTTTTACAGTATTTTAACTGTTGACACACGCGCCGGTCATATATCTTTATCTTGTTTCGAGTACGCGAGCCGTAAAATACGGGTGTCCTTTCTCTAAATATGAACAGTCGAGTTAGATAACAAGTTTCGTTAAAAAAGAATGAATATACGAGAGAAGCTGTGCGGGAAACATATTCTTGCTTCACATTCATAGATAGTATAATATTAACTTTTCTTATTTCTTTCCATATTTATGTTAAATTGTTCTGTCTGTAATAAAATGCGCGACATTCTTAAAGCAACAATTTTCTCAAATATACAATACATATACATATGTTTATGCATAGGGGGGTGTTTAAATATAACAAATATAAGATGACGCAGTCATATTTGTCATTAGTCATCATGACTAATCACAACTGACAGGGTCAATTTGAAATTTATAGATAATTACAACTTAAAAGAACGTGAAGATTTATCGTAATTATCTTAAGTGGCAGCTCTAATTCCTAACCGGTTTAAGTATATGCGAAAGCCACCTTGATAAATATTTACGAGGCCGCATAATTTTATTACCGTTTGCCACGATAGCAAGTTCCGTTACTCTTAATATAATCTGAGATGCATAGCATGTCCGAGAGTTTGAAACTAAGATGTTACCACGTTGGAAGAAAAAGTTCCATTTACGAATGGCGTGCGGAACAGGCCGAAAAAAGTACGGTTACGGTGGCGTGTGTTATATTACACGAACGACAATGCTGGAAACGGCATCGATTATCCCACGGCACGACGTGAGGAAAATTGAGCAAATAACGTTTTTCACATTCTGGGGATCATGACCGATAAAGCTCAGCAATTTCTTCAATGTAGGAAGAAAACGGCGTTGTGACCGACGACGACGACGACAACGCCGGTGGCGAGAGGCAAGGCGGGATAAGCGAGTAGCAAGTCGACAGAAAAACAGATACGACGAAGCTCGTTTCCTTTATCTACCCGGAGAACTTGGAGACGATTCCTCGCGGCACCTCCTTCCGCTCTGCCTCGTATATTTATACGAATCCTTAATACTTTCTCCTGCAGTGTGCACGCCGCACATACTGAGATACACGTGCAAGGCTCTTATTGTTAGATCCTTGAATTACCAGGACCTTACTCGGTGCCTTACACAGTGGATTTCCAGAGAGCCGGGCGTCTAGATCGTTGAATTTCTGGAGATTAACTTCTGGAAACGTTGTTTCAGTGAACGGTCAGAGCAGAAATAAAGGAATAATAGTTTTGAGAAAATTAATTCAGATACCCCGAAGATAAGATAACTCGAGTCCGACCTGAAGATTAAAATAATGATGAAATTAATGAAAAATTACGCTACTGCGTGAGAACAAATATAACGTGTCTAATTGTAAAGGAAACGCACATACATTATGTTTCCTAATGTTAAGATATATTTTTAGAAATACTGATAGAAAACTACTTTTATTTAAGATATATTTTTTATTTTCAGGTAATCAGATAAATGACAAATAATAATTACTATCGAATTTGGAATGTCAAGATAAATAATAATTGATACAATTAGAGGAAAATATCTGATTGAAATATAATTTCAATCCGAAGAGTGCGGTTAAATTTTGATTAAATATGTCATAATTAATTTTTGATGTTGATATGATATTGATTAATTTACATAGTAATTAGTATTAACACATAGAAGAAATTATAATTGCTTTACATTAAATTAGAAGTTAATCAATTATATATACTAATTAAGTCGTCATTAGGATGGATATCTTTTAATTAAATTTCGGGGAAGAATAGAGACTTGACCTATTTAATGATTTCTCTCTGTCGCTCTATTCCAGGATTCCACATTTATACGTTGAACGAAAGCGCGCACACAGAAAGGGAGGAGGACGAAATCTTGACAGTGAAATACGAGGATGGCAGATGGTCGAAACCGTATTACGACTGCGGAGGTGGCAATATCTGGATGCTGACCTACACCGTACCTTTCTTCGGATACATCAACGATACGTATTTCTTCAAGTGAGTGCAGATTCTTTTCGTCACATCAAACGTCCGCGATTAACCTAGCTCCCTAATTAATAAATCGAGAATGTCTACGAGAAGGTTTTTTGTAACTCTTATACGTTATTAGTACCATAAATTTGCATTTTGTCTTTTACTCGGCTATCGTGTTTCCCATATGGATGAACGATTCCAAATTTTAATTACACGTGACGTTGTAAATCGAATTTGTTTACGTGCCGAAACATAACGAAAAATTTCCAATGTTTAATCTGTTGTGCAAAATACTCGAATATAAATATAGATGGGAATCTGAATTTATATCAGGTTACATGATATAAACATGAGATTGAACGTAATGAATAATTTCAAATATTCATTATTGGAATATGATCGGTTCCCTTATTGAAATATTACGGCAACTCATCAATCTTTAACTACGTCGTATCGAAAGATCGAGCACAGATAAAAGTCTGAGAGAACGCTGCGTAATGTAAGTGCCACTTACATTATGAACGTACACACGTTACTATTCGTAAATTAAGGAGCCTGCGCCACTCGAGAAATTGTACCGTCATCTTCATTCCGCGATCGTATTTGAATCTCAGGATCTTTGAATTGAAAAATCCTCGGAAAATGTACAAGGATCTTAGAATGAAAACTTGGAAGAATTTCAAGAATCCGAAAATTCAAGTGTCAAAGATTTCGTGGAGTTGGAGGATTCTAGAATGCGATAACGTGCAATATTTTTGCTAAATCGTAACATTGCGAGAAATATATATAGCGTCGAACTTTCTTTCACTGGCGAATTTGCGCTGAAAAATAAAGAATCAGCGAATTACAGGATTTATTTAATCGTAAAATACTTTTTCCTCAGAGAACAATGAAATTACATTGTATAGTGAAAGAAGTAATTAACTGTAACAACAGTAATTAACATTTTCCTTCATCAATTTGATTACGTAAAAATTTAGGTTCCATAAATTTCCTTTCTCTTATAGCGATTCGTTTCAACTTGATGGTAAAAGTATCAGAATTCGTTCGATCGCTCCCCTTGTAATATTCCGGGAAACTGGTTTTATAGGTCCAATGTGTCAATTTGATCGTAATTACGACATAAATTTGATCAGCAGATTGGTATCATTGGCGTAATAAAGCCGTCGCAATATAAAAGGAGAAAAGTAATATGAAGGATTATCTAATACTAACGTTAAATTTTTTTAATGACGCTCTCAATTTAAGGATCGGATAATATTCAGTTACATTCCTCGATGTTCCACTTTTCCGCAAAAATTATATAAAGATATCATTTCCCGAGCGCGCTTCACAATAGCGATGTCTTTTTCGTTAATGAATCTAAAAGGGAAGAAAAGAAAAATAGAATAAATGAAGAAAATCTGGCGATATCCAATATTTTAAACGTAATAAGTTCTCGAGGGGGATTGCACGATATATATAGATTGTCTCAACCAACTACCTAGATATCAAGTAACTTGATAGTCTCGATTACGGTTCCTTAAGCAAACTTAAAGTCAGTGTTCCTTCGAAGAAGCAATATTATTTCGTATTTGAAAGTTATTTATTAAAAAAACAAAACTTTAACGTCTTGACAAAATGATTTTCTTTTTAATTAACTTTGAGGTGGATTTTATCGTGAATGAATAATGTGAATTAATTTAACTGTCGCAATACTTTAAATGTAAATTCTATACTGTCTATTTTATGGTGATTGGTAAAAATAAGCTTGACGCATTTTCTACGAGGAAGGATTACATATTTATCGAAGAAAGGACAGGGAAGAATAGTTTTTCATGATATATGAAAACTGTTCTAAGCAGAAAATAGAACTAGAGTTTTATCGAAATACTTTGTGTATATTCTTTATCCAATACTTATATTATATTCATATTTTATTCATCAATGCAGAGCTTGAAGAATGTCCTGTGCCATCAAATCAGTTTATTATTATATTTATTATTCCGGTATATGTATCGCGACGCATTGTACTTATAGTTGATAAAGAAGTAGAGAAGCTTACGTCTTTTCTCCTATGAAAGTGCACTTTTTAAAGAAAAGCGCCTTATGGATCCTCTATCCTCCTCTCTATCTCTTTTTTTCTTTTCCTGCCTAATATCGCGAAAATTCTTTATTTTCAAGCATAAGACATAATTATAATAACATTGTTCATAAATTATGTTTGTGATCAATCAAACTTCTTCAGTTCTTTGAGAATTAACTTTATGTGGAAAACATGCTTTTTCCAAATCAACGGAAAACGAAAATTAAAACTAAAAATAACCTCGCATTGATATTAGCTTCAGTAAAAAATATAACTAATATAATATAATTAAAGTAATGTAATTTTTAATATTATATACAACTAATTATAAGTGATTAGAATCAAAATTTTTGAAAGTCAATCTAATTGGTATCCAGAGCGCAATAGGGTTAATATAAGGGATAGAGGTATTTAGAGATCGTAACTGTTGACTGGCGCTCGGATATTCACTGGCACAGTCAGCAAGAAGAGTTATGTCATTTCGCGACAGTGAAATATACGGGGAGTTCGCGATCGTGTTTTCCTTTGAGAGAATCGGCGAAACTGTGCGCGGCAGAGAGCACAAACGGTAACCGCATAGTCGCATTATGCCGAGCTAATGATAGCTCGCCCATCGCGCTCTTGCTTGCCCCCGCGTACGCAAGGGGGGCAACAAGTGAGTGGATGGAACGGACGGTGGAAAGTTACGCTAAAGTTGCCAACTCGCTCGGACGCAACCTTGTCGATATTAGCAGTGAAGTTGCTTGCCAACAAACTGTCGTAACTAGCGGAAGTTTTCCAAAGATCTACCGCCCAGCCAACCCCACAACGTAGAATCGCTCCCATTCTTCCGTGTGTTCATTTGAAATCGTTAAACTCCGTCAAACTATAGAAACTATTTGCACGTGAATACGAAAATAGTTGAACTATTCAATAGAAAAAAATAAAAAATCCCGACCAGTTTCATACTTCCTTGAGAATTTCTCGGCAGTTGAGCAACTGGTTCAAAATTTTCAATACGAAGGAATTGCCACGTGTTTTTTAATAAAAATGAAATTTCTTTCCAGTAGTTTTCCTTAATTCATAACGAGAAGAATAGATGTGTGATTGGCATTGCGGAATACGTATAGGGTATTGTTATATTTTTTGAATTATTGCTACCATAAAAATGTGCGGGAAATATTTTCTTTGAGCAACTTTCAGTCGGTTTTCTTGTCGGGTTGAACTCAAATAAATAAAAATAATGTATCAGTAAGTTACGCATTTTCCGAGTCCGCTATCTTTCGTAGAGACGTTGGAAACAGTTCGCAAGAAGAAAGACAGCAAGAAAACTGTAAAGAGTTTATCAGTCTCAAAAGAAGAAACTTCTTTTTTCCCCGATCCTTTTCATTATTTAGACTAAAACTTGTGTTGTAAAATGTCCTGACATTATTAAATTTAACTTAAAATTTTATCCTACACGAAGTGTTCAGCAACAAGCGCATCTGGCACACGTAGAACTTTTCCTTGTCGAGAATTGAAATAATTTTCTTTGCTAAAGATATTGGAATATAAATACTTTTAAATGTTAATGATTAAAACTATTTTTACAAATTTTTAATTATATTTTATCATAATTTCTATACTTGAGAATTATAAGATATATTTATTATTTAAAAAACCATGAAAAAATTTAATTATGCGCAATTAAATATTGGTGAAAAAAATTGATACATTTTTTTTTACAAGAATTGTCTTGTTTGTTATATTACCAAACACTGTATGTAAGACATAATTTTAAATTAGCAGTTACCTGTGTTAAATGACATCGCGACATTTCCCATGCTGATCTTTCCTCTGACCCTCCAAACAATCATTAATATTTCTATCTGGAACAACTATAAAACTCTGTAGAACTACGTCTCGGAAGTTGTCGTCATCCGTTTCTTCTAACAATGTTTCATTCATCGGTGTTTTATTTGTCGATGTTTCTTCTTGACAAGTGCCGGATGAAATCACAATAGCCGTTATTATCACGATTATCAGTAAAATGTTCACGAGCAATTTCATCTTCAAATAATTCTGCAAAACCCGATTTTTTAAATAATAAAAAGGTCGGAAAGTCAAAATTTAAATATTGTTCGTTATCTTTTTTCTAAATTTTTAGTCTAACTAAACTTTTCTTCAATTTTATCTGAAATTTTAATTTTAATTTTTTCTCCCACAAAATGCACTTGCTTGAAATTTTTGTCAATTACCTCTCTATTTATCTTTTTTAATTTTATCGAATTTTTATCAAGTTTTTTTTTTACTATTTCGCTCGTTTGGTTCCAGTAAGTAAACAAACTCTGCAGTCTGTCTCTTGCGAATCTGTTATTTATATCTCTTCGATTGGGTAGGCATAGTGGAAGAAACTGGTTATTAGCGGAATCTCACGATCATATTCGAACACGATAGAAACCGCAGCTTATTTAGAAAAAACAAGGTTTAGATATTTATACATAACAATTAAATTTAATGTGCTATGAAATGTTTGATAAAGTAGAATTTCACGAAAGTATACCAAATAAAATGTAATAAACAGAGAATTATGTGCTGCTAATTATTCGCGAGGTAATTATATTTAAGTAATTATAATGAAGATAAAAAGGAAAAGTGTATAAATAGATAATAATATAGGAGGCTCGTGTGAATTTTGTTTAGCTCTAGATATTTGGATATCTCATTTTGTATTTGTAACAATTACCTTACATCTCTGTACATTAAGCGACTTGGCGACATTTATTGTTCCTATCTCTTCGTTGGCCACTCGGGCAAGGCGAGCTATAACTTCTACGCGGAGCAGTTATAATACTATGACTATAACCATGCCCGGGTTTTCGCCATCTTTGACAAGTTTCAGGTGGAATTACAACCGCCAATATTACAATTGCCAGCAATATCTTTATGAGGAATTTCATTTTTCTGCAATATTACAAGTTCCAGGAAATAATAAGAGGTTCGAGAAATCGAATTTCTCAAATATCTTTTAATATCTTATTTTTCTCATTCTTTTCAATCTTCTTTTCTTCTAAAAGATATATAATGTTCTTAATTCCTTTTTACAATTAGATATCTCACTTTTTGAGCTTTTCGTCAGAATTTTCTTTCTTACTTTTTAGCTTCTATTAATTTTCAGTTGTTACAACTTTTTTCTTGACTCACAGATTTGTTTCCTATGGTCCCAGCAAACTAACTCTACAAGTTGCCTGTCGTAGACCCGATATTTATATTTTTTCGCTCAAGCCTTTTTGTTATGAATAACTGGTTATTAATGAAATTCAACAATCGAGAAATAACAAGTTATATATGGAGATAATTAATTACAACATTTACATAGTTATGCACAAGAAGTATTAATCTTAATACGCTAAAAAACGTGGTTGAAAAAAAAACAGGATCGCATCTTGAAAGACATTGTAACGCAAAACTAGACATAAAATGTAATGAATATAAACATTCCGCGAGGAATCATCAGATTTAAATACAAATTAGGAAAGATGCAAGTAAAAAGAGATAGGCTCGTATCTTCTTTTGCTTCCTCATAAAGGAAGCTTTGTTTTCGTAAATTTCGTATATGAACTTTTGATTGCGTATAAAGTTGAGTCTAGTCAGCCAAATTTTTTTACATTCTTGACAATAATATTTATATTTAATCGATAGATTATACAAATCTTTCTGTTGTTGAAAAATTTTTATTAACAAAATTCCACGATCGTTTCTGCAGAAACGATAAACCATTTAAAAATATTTAGTTATTCGCCTATGTCGAGTATCAACGAGCAATTTCATCTTCAAATAATTCTGCATAACCCGATTTTTTAAATAATAAAAAGGTAGGAAAGTCAAAATTTAAATATCGTTCGTTATCTTTTTTCTAAATTTTTAGTCTAACTAAACTTTTCTTCTAATTTTATCTGAAATTTTAATTTTAATTTTTTCTCCCACAAAATGCACTTGCTTGAAATTCTTGTCAATTACCTCTTTATTTATCTTTTTTTAATTTTATCGAATTTTTATCAAGTTTTTTTTCACTATTTCGCTTGTTTGGTTCCAGTAAGTAAACATTCTGCAGTCTGTCTCTTGCGAATCTGTTATTTATATCTCTTCGATTGGGTAAGCATAGTGGAAGGAACTGGTTATTAGCGGAACCTCACGATTATATTCGAACAAGGTAGAAACCACAGCTTAATTATTTAGAAAAAACAAGGTTTAGATATTTATACATATATAGCAATTAAATTTAATGTGCTATGAAATGTTTGATAAAGTAGAATAATATCTCACGAAAGTATACCAACTAAAATGTAATAATCAGATAATTATGTGCTGCTAATTATTCGCGAGGTAATTATATTTAAGTATGAAGATAAAAAGGAAAAGTGTACATATAGGAGGCTCGTGTGAATTTTGTTTAGCTCTAGATATTTGGATATCTCATTTTGTATTTGTAACAATTACCTTACATCTCTGTATGTTAAGCGACTTGGCGACATTTATTGTTCCTATCTCTTCGTTGGCCACTCGGGCAAAGCGAGCTATAACTTCTACGCGGAGCAGTTATAATACTACCATACCCGGGTTTTCGCCATCTTTGACAAGTTTCAGGTGGAATTACAGCCGCCAATATTACAATTGCCAGCAATATCTTTACGAGGAATTTCATTTTTCTGCAATATTACAAATTCTAGGAAATAATAAGAGGTTCGAGAAATCGAACGTATACTTTTAATATCTTATTTTTCTCGTTCTTTTCAATCTTCTTTTCTTCTAAAAGATATATAATGTTCTTAATTTCTTTTTACAATTAGATATCTCACTTTTTCGAGCTTTTCGTCAGATTTTTCTTTCTTACCTTTTAGCTTCTATTAATTTTCAATTGTTACAACTTTTTTCTTGACTCACAGATTTGTTTCCTATGGTCCCAGAAAACTAACTCTACGAGTTGCCTGTCGCAGACCCGATATTTATATTTTTTCGCTCAAGCCTTTTTGTTATGAATAACTGGTTATTAAATGAAATTCAACAATCGTTTCCGAGAATTAACAAGTTATATGCAGATTATTAATTACAACATTTACATAGATATCCACAAGAAGTATTAATCTTAATACGCTAAAAAAGTGGTTGCAAAAAAAAACAGGATCGCATCCTGAAAGACATTGTAACGCAAAACTAGACATAAAATTTAATGAATAAACATTCCGCGAGGAATCATCAGATTTAAATATACGAATCAGGAAAGATGCAAGTAAAAAGAGATAGGCTCGTATCTCTTTCTTTACATTTTTGGCAATAATATTTATATTTAATCGATAGATTATACAAATCTTTTTGTCGTTGAAAAATTTTTATTAACAAAATTCCACGATCGTTTCTGCAGAAACGATAAACCATTTAAAAATATTTAGTTATTCGCCTATGTCGAGTATCAACCTTCATACGTCGGGAGATGTTTGAAAAATAGGATTATTGATGGGACGTGGCTGTAACGCGTAGCAAATATATCCCAAAAAGCCTGTCAATCTGGAAAAGATACGCAATAACATCTCTCTCGCGGCGAATTGTTGTATCGCTATATATATATTTAGAACGAGTTGTTACCGCGTGTCTTGATAAAATGTACCGGATTGATATTTCCTTTCGTGAAATAACTACACTTAAACATAAAGCTGAAGCAGAAGTATAGATAAAGATATGACGAAATGTGTATGACATCTCGTATCTATACACATTTTGCCATTTAATATTAAATATTGAATTTATTCCATTTTCTCTTATCTTTACCTTGTCCATGTCTTTGTTAAGACGCGATTTTACGACATTGTCCACGATGTTTTCGTTGGCCTTCCGGGCAAGGATTTCTATATGGAACATCTATGAAAAGGTCTAGAAGTTCAGACAATGTTTCGGTTGTGTTCTCTTGACAAGCTCCAGATACAATCATACTAGTTGCCAATATCACACTTATCAGCAGGATACTTGCGAAACATTTCATTTTCAAGCGGTATCGCAAAACTCAGGAAATAATAAAAAGACTGTTTAAAGATCGGAATTTAAGTATCGTTCGTTACTATTTTGCAATTGCCTTTTCTTCTAATTATATGAAATATTTTTAAATCCCGTTTGTATATATTCCACTGTCTCGAAGTTTTGATTTACACAAATTTGACTCTTATTGCGCTAACACTTACCGAACTTTATCAATTGTCTATCGGGAGTCCGATATTTATATTCATTCGGTTACGTAAGTCTCTTCACGCGCCGCCGGAACTGGTTAATAATGAAATTCAAATTTCTGCAGAGAATCAAGTAATTATACGATTGCTATAAAGATTTATCTACGTATAAATGTCAATTCGGTATTTCTTGATACGTCTAAAAATACTTAAAACCTTTTTAAGTTTGCGCCTCGCTAAAAGGAGCTCGTAATATAAATTGTAAAAAAAGACAACGAATAAACACTGCATGATATTATCATATTTAAATATAAGAACGTAGGAAAAATACGCAGTAAAAAAGAGGTACGATTGCATTTAGAATACATGGTCTTTTTGCTTCTCCATCTCATATTTTTATAATTACTTTACACAATAAATACCTTCTCTGCGTGTTAAACGACGATGCGGCATGTTCCGTGACGATCTTTCCTTTGGCCTAACGGGCAAGGATTTCTATCCGGTACGAATATCATTATGTTGGTTGTGAACACAGTTACGTTTTCTTGACAAATACCAGGTATAATCACAATGGCCATTAATAATACCGCAATTACTAGCAGGATATTCACGAATAATTTCATTTTCAAACAGTGATTTGAAAACGCGAGTTTCACGGTCACTTTATAGAACCTAGAGACTGTGATTGTTATATATAAAGATGTGTTTCTTTATATATAAGCACTAGTTATCGATGTTGATGCAATAGATGATAGTATATGAAAAATGATGTATTACTTATCAATAACGGATACGTAGCAAATAAAAATTTATTTCCACGAAATTATTATATTTAAATATATGAGGATGAAGCAAAGTTTAAAAAAAATATGTGCGATAACCTCGTATCAATAATTCGCACATTTAGCATTAGATATGGATATCTCATTTTATTGAGAGGCGATATTTTATAGACATAAGAATTACAGCGAAAATACGTAACGTTATTTCCGTTGAATACATCACGTTTTATAATGACGACTCGCAACTTCTCTTCGCAGCTCTATTATGCATGTTTTTCTTTAAAATTTATCTTGAAATTTCTGATAATATTCTCATATTCTTCGAACGCAGTTTCTTTTTTATTTCTTTGTAATATTTCCGCTTTATAACTTTGTGTTGCCGTCTATAAACTTACAAGAATTCCCTCCGTTTTTCTTATAGTGAAGCTGGTCGACTTTATACCTTCGGGAAATAAGCACACACATTGTCACTCTTTTTTACTGCGCATTTACTATTTATATAACCTCATGTGTTCTCGTGATTATATTCCATTAACGTAATGGAAAAACTGATTATAAACTAGCGCATTTTTTTTTTATGCAAACTGACGAGCTCAATACTACAATGAATATACATGTACGCAGTCGAGGTAATCAAGCTTATACATATAACACATTGTGTGTAATATATAAATTTATCGAAATTTTATTTTAGTAAAGATAGAATATTCATATGTAGAAATATTTCTGTGTGCTATTTGGCTACGATATACGTACGCTGCTGCTATGATATTTTGGAACTTCCCATCGCATGTATAACTTTCAACTGACATACTTGAAAAGCTGAGTTTCTGCAAATATTTGAAAGCAGACATTAAAGACACGTTTCATATTTCTGGAAAAAAAATGTTGCGAGCTAGAACGTATGGTTTTAGATAAGCTTTGTTCAATAAATGTGTTTAAAAATTGTTCAAAAATAGAATTATATCTTTGAACGAAGCTGTTAATGTCGAGGCTGTTTTTGTCTTTGTAAAACGATTATTGAAGTTGAAGTAAACATGTAATGTGAATGCTTCTGTTCAACACTGTTTATTTTTATTTCATGCTTTTATCTGATATAAACAACGACTACGTTCTTGACATAAAAAGTTTCGCGAAATTTTTTAAAATAATTTTTGTATTTTTTGAATGGTAATTTTCTGTAATATTTTTATATTTTTCTTTGAAATAATTCTTTTTACTTTTTCTTTCCTGTAATATTCTATTATTTAGAATCTTACCACAATATCGTCTGTCTCTTTCCGTACATTAGATTCTTTCTGCAAGTCTGATTGTTTAGTCAACAAAGTGTCACACTACAGTGTCTCTACTATATTATACAGATATATGTTGCAATATGTCATACAAATAACCGGTTAGATATTTAGATCTTCTTTTTTAAAAAGACAATAAATTTAAATGGCTAAAGTATAAGATCTAGAAACGCGGAGATTGAACAAGTAAATATTACAATTAATTATTTTGAAATTCTTGATAAATTATTCTTTGTTACTAGAAGATAATTGTAAATGTTAATAAAATAAAAAAGAACGATCTCTGAAGAAAGAAACAAAAAAGAGCGGATTTATTTGTCCATCGTAAATCAAAGAATTTATAGTTATTCATACAACGTAATTGCTGACATTATTAATATAACATAAAAAACATTACTCACTTTTATTTTTTTTATAAGTCGTATATTGTTTTTTTATTTTTTAAATTGGTGCGTCATCTTAACCGAATTAGTTAGTGACCTTTTAATTATAAAAGTTAATATTTTTTTTTGGGCCTGAAAAAAAATATAAAAGGTTAAAACAGGGAAGCACACATATATAAAATATGAATTAAGAAAAGAAATATTAAAATTTCTGACAGTATATATATTTTAAGTATTATATGTAGTTATTATTCTAGTATTCCTACGTGTATCGATATTCAATAATTTTTCTTGGTAAACTATAGATTATATATAGAAGCTTTGTTTTCATTGAATATATAATATGCAACGTTTAGAAGAATAAAAAGAATTAATTTAATTCAATTTTAATATTTTTATATGTAACAATTTTTGTTACTGAAATTAGTTTTCGTAACAGCTTGAACAATATCCAGACACGGAATTTACTTGTAGTCTCGTAGATTTGTGTTTTATGAAATTTGATCAAATTTGATTTGATTGACCTGAGGGAATCAAATCATGTTTGTAGCTTCATGTTATTTTTATCACAATTAGAAATAAATTTTGAAATATTAAATTAGTTTTAATTACCAGGAAATTGCCGTCGTTATTTCGCCACCTTGCGACATACTCCGCGAGCATCGTGTTTCTGTCCTTCAGGGCAAGCAAGTTTCACATTCCTCGCAGGAACTTTTATGAAATGACGGTGAAGAGGGTTGTGGGTGCTGCTTCCAATACCTAATGATACAGCTTCTTCGGTCCCATATTCAGTGGTATATTCAGTTGTCGTATTAGGTTCACATGTTCCCAATGGTATCACAAATGCTATTATTGTGATTATCAAGAAAACATTAAGAAATGCTTTCATTGTGCGAGATTTTCCTTCACGAACTAAAAAAGAGAGAATTAAATTTCAAATATAATTCTTATTCTGTTTCTTATTCTGCCGAAATTTTAGAGTTTTTATATAAATTTCTTCTATTGATTCTTTTAATTTTTCCAGATGTGTTATAAATATTTTTCTATCCTAATTGTTGTACGTAATTGTTTATAATGTTTAGAACTTTGTGATGGTTTTAACTTTTTTGTTTCTTTTTACTTAAATCCTTTGAAATAAAGACAATCTTTTCTATTCTTTCTCTTTTTCTCTTTGTTTTTGTTCTAATTTCTTCGTGGTTTACAATCTTACCACAATTTCTTCAGCAAATTCAATTTGCCACTGCAGCTGATAGTTTCGACAGATTAATCCGTATTGCTATTTTTCTATTCAGGCTCTCTATATATAATCCACATGTTTTCCTGTTTACGTAAATTTTATTACCATTATATAAGAAAAACTGGTTAGTATGAATCAACGTACCTACTCTTTTTTAAATTAACGAAACATTAAAATTGCTGAGATCGAAGATTAAACACGTGAATTAGCACGGACTCCCATATATCTCGGAAAATACTTTAGAAGTTTTTGTCAATTGTAAAAAAAAATTATTAAACTGGATATTGAAAAAAAAAAGATTTTTGAAAGATTGAATTAATTTATTAATTGTAATGTAGGATTTACAAAATAACGTAACAACTGATATTAGCATCAAAATTGATATCTTTTTTTTATAATCGATTAGTTTATACATATTACTCTTCTAAATTAGTTAATCGGATTGGATTATTCATTGAGTTTAGAATTACAAGTCACATCTTGAATCTGAAAAAAAATACATAAAAATTATAACAAGGAAATAAATTTTTTTAAAACTATGTATAAAACTCTCAAAAAATATATATATAATGTGAATGTAAAGAGGGATTAGAATTTCTAATAGTATTTTAAATTATTAATTATTATAGCATTTACATAATATACAGTACACATCAAAAATTTGTCTCAGTTGTATTGTATATGAAAACTCACATTTCTGTTATCTGTTATGTTCTAAATATTAGATGATTAAAATAATGAAAAAATATATAATGAAGCAAAAAGAACGTAAAAATTTGCGTGTAATAGCTTAGCTTCAACTAATATTACGCTTTAACGTTGCTATGCTTAATAATTTCAGCCATTAAAATTTGTTTTCCTAATAGCTTGAACAATATTCGCATAATCTGCCTGTTTCTCGCAGCTTTGCGTTATATTCTCGAAAATGTTGGTGTGATTATATTCGAGGGTTTACGCCGCCTCTCTATTAGGGAATGGGTTTGAAATATTAAACTGATAATTAATTATACTTGCACGTCTTTTCCTTATTGTAATGGCGTCCGGCACAACCCGTGAGCATCTTTCCTTTGCCCTTTGGAGCAAGGTGGTCTCGTAGGAATGTCTATGATAAAAAATGGTTCAACGACTACGCTAGTACGTGTAGTTGTGGTCATACACGTCGCTATTGATATCACTATGGTCACCACTAACATGATTGCCAGCGAAACGTTATGGAATATTTTCATCGTGTTGTAAAAATCTAAAGGTTCCGTGTGATCTAAAAGATATAAAATTAAACATCATATATTGTTTATCTATTCTTTTATTTTTACGAAGTAGTCGAATAAGTTTTATATAAATCTTCCATTTTTTTATTTTTTAAAAGTTTCTTTATAAGTCTAATTTCTCTATTTATTTTTTTATCAAATATAAAATAACTTGAAGAAACTTTAAGAAATTCCTCTTTTTGCTTATTTCTTGGTATATTTTTCTTTCTTCAATTTTTCTACCAATTTAAAATAAAAAATACTTACTACAATTCGACACACACCTTATCCTATCGACAAACTCGCAATATTATTTCTTTGCTATACATCTCTCTCCTATTTATAATCATCCTGATTTCGCAAGCTTCATTATCATCTTTTGAAAGAACCGGTTATGAACCAGTACATCCTCTTCTACTTAAACGAGAAGTTATAACGACAGGACTTCCCAAACGTCACAAAAAACACGAAGGTCAAATAGTTATAGGTATATATAGGTATATTTAAAATAAAAAAATTGTTTCTTATTATTAAAAGATAAATAAAGAAAAATACTTCGAAGATTATACTAAATGTGCTGATAATTACCTATAAAGCTATTATTACATATATGAACCAATGAAGTATGATAAGGTTTAATATCAAAAGGAGCAGTATAGTTTTGTTAGAAAAATTAAGAAAAACAATTTAATCGATTCATTTCTCGTTATTTTAGAAAACATAAATTTAAAGAAGTTTGTTTTTATTTACTTCTTTAGCTGCGTCTCTCTCTCTCTGTCTCTCTTACTCTTTCTCTCTTTCTCTCTTTCTCTCTTTCTCTCTTTCTCTCTTTCTAGTTTTTTGAGATCCGTGAATCACAATGTGTGTCAAGTACGTGCAGCCTACAACGGTCGCGAAACAAAGCTCACGACGATCACGGCATACAAATCGACAAATGAATATAAATGCAAGCTGCAAGGTGAAAATATAAGCATCTAATATTTTTTGTGATATTGGATATATTTAGAAATACTCTCTAGACGCGATTAAATTTTAGTATTAATTAAAAGCAATCTTGAATTATAAAATTAAAATTTAGAAAAATTATAATTTGACGAAAAAAAATAATAATTAAGAATACACGTATAATGAAGCAGAATCTCATTCTGTGACTCATTTTGTGTTCTCATGCTTGCTAACTAGTTCTGCATTCCTTTTTAGCTTTTCAACAATTACGCTTTTAGCATTTCATGCGCGAATTAACGCGTTATGAGAAAATATAATTTAATTTCTTTCATAATATAAAATGTATTCTGGGCTGTAGAACGTACAGGACTTATATATACGACTCTAATAATGTTGTCAGATATCTTACAATTAGTCAATATTCACACATAATTACAATGCAATTAAAATTAACATGTACAGTGTGAATTTATTAATAAATCCTGCGGATACAAAACACTGAATATTTTCACCTTTTTGTCGTTGCTACGATATTTTCTACGGTCTCGTTTTTAGCTTTCATCTGATATTGCTGAAATTTTGATATCCACCGCAGCTTGCAAATAGACATAAAATACACATGTACTTTGGAAAGGAATCTGTCAAAAGCTGGAATGTATAATTTTCAGAGATACAAAATTTACACTTTAAACAAACTCTAAAATAATAACTCACATCAGTTCGTCAAAATGGTATAATTTTTTTACATCTTTGTTGTTATATAACTTTGTTATATAACTTACTATAATTTTATAAAAAAATAATATACATGTATTTGGTTGATTATTGTCAATTAAATTACTTAATGCTGTAACATTCAAAGCTATCAATGTCACCAACGTTAATAAACAGTTAATTAAATATTTATTCTCTGATTATTAATAAAATGGCTGGAAAATATATTAAATAGAAATATGTGTGGAATATTCTGTTAATGTATAAAATTGGAAACATTCGCACCAGGGTTTTCATAAGAATTTACATAACGCGTTAATTACAAATCTAGAGTATAATCGCACGTGATTTAACCACGTCCAATTGAAATATATATTCTGCTTTTGAAGATAATTTGTTTTAACCTTTTAAAGAAACAGTTACCTGTGTTTCTCGATTATTATACCGGCGTGCGACACGTTCCTCTGGAATCTTTTCTCTGGCCTTCCGGACAAGGGTCTGTAATTCTCGAGGGTACTGTTACAGCTGTGCGCGGGGTAACATTGCTTGGCTCGTGCATATTCGTACTCGTGCATTTCACTCTTATTCTCCTGACCGACTGTCGATAGTACTAAGATTAACATTGTCGTCGCAAGTATTAGCAAAATACCCATGAAGAACTTCATTTCTAAACGACGTAACAATTCTTAGTTTAAAAATACAAATGAAAGTGCGAGTAAGGATCAAAATCTCCGCACCTCCAATTTCGTATCTTTACCCCTTTCTCGATTTTTTCTTCTTGACTTCTCTTGACTCTGTTCGTAACTTATGCGAAATCTTCGAACGCTTCTCACTCTTGATGCTTCTTTATTCGACTTATCTCGGCAAATAACTTGCCGCTTCGCTGTCGCATATTTTTTATTTATACTTAGATATTATTTCCAACGCGATGCACTTTGCTTTATTACAATAAAAATTAAAATTGTGCAATTTAAAAACGCGCTAGTCGTCGTAATCAAAATTTACTGATATCAATGTCGTCAATAAGCATAACAATATTTATAGCATATAATACTTAGAGCATTCCGTTACTTTCCCGTTCCAGCCAGAAATAATTAGTTGAATTAATTTAGTTGAATCAATTCGATATCGATGCATCGATAAATAGTCGATATCAAATATTGATTGATCTTTGTTTCTCATCTTTGACCTTATTATAATTGCTTTTACATAATATACATAATGTTAATCAAGCAATTGCAAATATTTCTGGAAGATTTCTATATTCTAACTCTACATCAAATCAGTGCAAAGTCGGAAAGCACAATATATGTATGTATATATGTATGTATACGTATATATTATGTATTCGATGTAGAAAGAATTGGCCAAAGGACATAGAAGTCTTATAGAAATATTTATAATTACTCAATTATTATAAAAAAATTATGATGAGTTTAAAAATGACAAAAATATCAACCACTATTCGACATTGACCATTCATTTACGCATCAAATTCAAATTGATTGAATCGATTTGACTAATTATTTCTGACGAGAGAGTAAATGTCTGTAAAATTTAATATAAATGGGACGTTTACACAACTCTAACAAACTGATAAATAATATACAAGGTAGCTCAGCTTTGCACACGTTTTCTATGACTTGCACTCGAGACGCTATAACCCTGCCAGCTACAGACTAACGTGACAGACTAATATCGATCTTGACATAGTTAAAGATGTCTTTAAAAATAAAATCTTTCGTTGATCGATAGAAAATAGGTCACTATAGATACATGTCGGTAAACAACTTTATGTCTGAATATAGAAAGATGGGAAAACAGATAAAGATATATAGGCTCATATTTTTGCATTTTGCCGCACATTCGGCATTAAAATCGATTGCTGGAGTTTATTTCGTACTGACAATACCGTCGTCGTATTTAGACCAATAAATGTCAAAATCTGATAATATAGCTGACATAAAGAAAGCGTTGGCAGTAGGACTGTTGTACACACACAGCCATTAATAAAATTTTATTTAACAATATTTGTTATTTTTTTCTATACAGAGTAGGAGTTATTACTAAACGTCTATTAGAGAAAAATCAATTCCAAATTCGAAAATCCATTTGTCATTTAAATTTCAATACACATAGTGACGTGCGGTTTGTACAAACATGCAACTCTATAGATTTTTTTCTATTTATTACTAAATTTTGTTAACGTACATACGTGGTTTTTATTTTATATATAAAAATAAACATAAAAAGGGCATATAGAATGCATAGATAGATAAAAAAAAGCATCTTATTACGATTAATCAGGACTTATACATATTACGCGGTCACAATTTACCGCAATTTAATGACAGTAACAGAAAGAATAAAATATACATTTTTTTGATAATCGTATCGGTTGCGAAATAGTTCGTTCCTCTGATAATGTAAAGCAGACAAATAGCTTGGCCAATCTCTCGTCGTACGTTGTTACGATATTTCACTGCTGATGTTTGTAGCTTTCGGATGACACCGCTCGTATCGTTGAATCTGTAAACGAATATAAAAAATAGCAGCTCACGAATAAATACAGTTCTTGTTCGGCGACATAAAAGAAGAATTATGTGCAGTGGCTTTAAATTTTTTCATATTCTTCTTTTTCGACACATACATACATACACGCACCCACACACTTAACTACACAATAAATTTTGTTCTATTGGTGTATTCAGACAGCTATGGAATGAGTCAGGATAATACGATCGCTGAAATAAACATGTGGAATATAGGCAGGAGTGTTCCGGAAAAGGAAGCGGAAATACGTGCTATTCCCAGGAGTAATTCCAAAAGTTTGCACGGGAGACATAAATTTCCGCTAATAAACGAATATTCAAAAAGCAGATTCGAAAAACCACATGTCAGAGATATTCATACTTTAAAATTGGACATTTTGTAAATTAATATAGTAAAAATTTCAATTTGTATAATTTTATGAAAAATAATAATTCTCCTATTTAAAAAAATGTATTGAAATTATTTTTTACTTTATACAATAAGTTATATTGTCATATAATAAAGTTAAGTTCATTTAGAAATTAATCATCAATAGTTACATAACATCGAATTTAAAAATGTTAAAGTAACAATGTCTTATAAAATTTGTGATAATAAAAATAGAGTCCAAATATATTTGTCAAAAAATCTGTTGGCGAAATATCTCATAAGATCAATGATATACACTTGTGTATAATATAACAGAAATGAATAATTTATCTGAGAAACAATTTATGTTTTATAATACTGAAAATGGAATATGACACGTATGACACGTTACTTTATTTTTTTATATTATTAAAAATGCCTAATAAAAATATACACTTTTAATATGTTTTTTTATACGGAGCTCTATTCGTACCTAAATTTCTTGATCAATTAATTTTTTGTATAAACAATTGCTTTTATTGTACTATTAAGAGACGGACGGACATTTAAGATAAAACTTCTAAATTATCCTGTATCTCTTAATTTTCAAAATTTCCAGGACACTCAATAAAATCATTACGTGAATGTATCATACTTAATCTTCTTTATTTTGGAGATTTATCGATGTTTCTTGTTTGAATCCCGATCAATCGGACATGAAATGATCGAGCGTGGATCGTCGCAACCATTATAATGACCGAGAATTAAAAATTTAACTGTCGTTGATTTTTCGGTAGTAGTTGACTCTTTTTGTTTTTCGTCCGATAACGGTGACAACGCGACAGTCATCATCGTCACGAGGATTAACAACGTGGCTCAAATTTTCATTTTTGTGATATTCACACAAAACCATTTGACCTCGATTCCTCCAAACGACGCATATGACGTATAAAATATCTTCGTTGATAGGGTGAAAGCGTTTTCTCGCTAATCTCCTGTTATTTACAATGACGTTGTCGTTAATTACGCTGAGCAATGACTATTTATTTTTCCCGAATATTTCAATTATTCATGCATTTCATGCAAATTCTTTTCTTTCTTCCTTATATGCATATCTTCCTAATTTCTACGATTCTCGGCAAAATTATCACAAGAATTTACCTTATTTACTTGATGTTAGATTTTGCAAACGTAATCGACACTTTCCGTTCGCGTCACGTTGCTGACCAGGAAATGGACATGGAAATTCCGGCACTGTTATGATATTGAATGGAACCGTTGTCACCGATTCCTCAGTAGTAGACGGCTCGGTTTGATCTTCGTTCATCGGCAATGACGAAACAGCGGTCATCACCGCCATAATTAATAACACAATGCAAAATTTCATTCTCGATTTTCGTCACAGAATACAAACTGTCTCGAAAGTTTGCTCTCGATAAAGTTCAAACGACGTGTGAAATATTCTTGAAAAAGCGGAGATTATAAAGACTCTGTCGGATGCTGCGTAGTGACTGATTAACTTTTTACAGAGAATTCCACGAATCGACAAATCTTGGCTTATGATAATTTTCATTACAGATATTACGTTATATTTACACGATAGCGTGTCAAAGGTGAAGCATATCTTTGATAAGAGTTTACTCAAAACATGAGTAATACTTGCAATACTTCGCAGAAATGATAGCTAGGTAAATTCTAAATTTAATTCGCATATGTATATTTATATGTAAATATTTAGAAAATTTTATCACTACTTCTCTAAAAATCATACAGATTAAATTTTAATAAAAATATTTGTATAACTTTTTTAAATATTCTAATTACTTATTTTTTATATTTTTTTACTACATATTTTTTAACCTTGCTTATATTTTTTATTCTAACTTTTTTATTTTCTAAAATAGTCTGACCGTAATTTATTTATTTTATATAGATATATTCTGCGGTTGTCTCTAATTTAAATCGACTTTTCTGTAATAATGAATTATTTAATATAACACCTCTTGGAAAATAGCCAATAATCGCAGTTAAAGTTGTTTAACATATTTAACGTAAGGTTATCGGGACAGCCAAGTATCGTTTTGCATTTCAAATTGCAAGTGAAATTCTATAAATATGTATATGCGAGTGGCCCGCTGAAAATATCATGTCCACGAGATTGCGTGAATATCGAAATTGTCAAACAATAGAAAGAAAGAGAAGAAAGGGAAAGAGAGAGAGAGAGAGAGAGAGAGAGAGAGAGAAGAGAGAGAGAGAGAGAAGCTTATTAGAATACTACGACAGTTGCATTCGGTAAAGCGTATGGAAAGTTAGAAATATTTAACGAGCAATAAAAGGTTTTATTTACTTATTATTGTTCAAATATTACCAAAGCAGAAAAAAACTTTATCTATATTTTATGAAGTTCATTTCACAGATGATTAGCTCTCTATGGGAAACAAAACTGTTATGCAAGAAACGATTGGCTTTTATGACGATAGAATTTGGCTTTTCAGTTCAACAAATATTTGACTTTTGCGAATAAAGTTTCGCTTTTACTAACGAAATAGAGTATAGCTTAAAACAAGCCCAATGTATCTCTAGTTCCTGAATTGGAAAAAATTTTACCGACCAGAGAACCGGTTTGATTTTTTCAAATAAAAAACATATAGCTTTTAGTACAAAATCTAATTTTTAGAACGAATACAACTTTAAATGGAAATGTATTTAGTTTCTATAAAGAAAATTGTTATTTCCTCTTTTTTCTAGTGTAAACCGTGTTCTTACTATCTACTATGAGAATGGTTTTTAAGAGGTTTTTTAAATTTGACTTTAGATTCAATAAAAAGTTACTTGCAGGTTAAAAAAAAAAGCTGGATTTACGATTGAACAATATTGAACTTTTATAACAAGGCAGCTTATTTTAGGTGAAAAAATGTACGTTTAATCCTAACGTTTAATCCTAAAGTGCAACAAAAATGAATAGATCATCAAGTTTTAACGTTCATAAATCCGATAACGAATTTGTTCGCTGTTTCCCAAATTGACCTATTTTTTATAAAAATATTTACTTTATACTTTATAATGTTACAATAAAATCATGTTACTATAATCCTAAATAAGAATTAAGAATGTTTATTTTATTTCGTTAAATAAATTGAATAAAGAATTAATGATTGTCTATTTACGATGCTTAAATCAGTTATTATTGATTTTGAACTTGAACACTACATTAAGCACAAAATTAACAATATACAGAAATTTAAGATATACGACAAAAATATTTAGCCAACACATTTAGTAATATTCAGTGGTTATTGTGGATATTAACTAACAGTCGCGAGTTTTAAATGGCAATTTTAAGCTAAAATACTGTTCGAAATCAAAATTTAAATTGTTTAACTTTATATCGTTTAACTTCGAGTGTAATTTTTTGGAATGTCAAATGATAGCCTGAGAATTTAAGTAAAATTTATCTATTGACAGCCACTCCACTCTGATATCCATCCACTCTGATGTTAGTAAAAATTTATTAAATTTTCAACTATATTTGAAAGCCGCGCTTGCGTGAATTTTACGGGCGCGTCAATCAAAGGTTTAAAGACCGATGATGCAGAAAAAAACAAAAGAACAAACTAACCGTGTGTGAAACGTTAATCAAATACGGGTCTCAATCGTCCGTTTCTGTCACGGCGATACCTCGTTCCGTTTCTCACGATCTCATTTCGTTCCGGCACGGTAATGATGTTCCTCCTGACTCGTCTGTTAATTTTGCTTCCGTCTTCCGTGACAACCGGCGTCTTCGCCGACAAAATGGCGTCGACCTCTTGCGTCTCGGGTGCGATTTCTTCTACTTTTTTACTGTCAGCCGCCGGCGTTCTTTCAGCCATTGTAGCGATTCTTCGATTGTCGGATCCTTAAACGATTTTCGATAATCCTATTTTTCCCTCTAATCTGCCGTCAAATCTTCAAGGGATCTCTGTCTGTAGATATTCCAGAATTTGGCCGTTGTTCCTGAATATTAAGTAATTGTTTTGAATTTTAAATGACAATTTTAAATATGAAAGACAGAAAGAGAGGAAGAGAGAGATCGGCAATATTTTCTACTTTGAATAACATTTTGAAATATGTTATAAAGTCTTGGAAACTTGAATAACATTTAAACACTGAAATAAATTTTCTTAATTAATTATTTCGAAAATTATATATTTTTCAATCTCAAATCATATTTTTAAATTTTAAATGGCGTATAATTTTCACGAAATGTAAATAGCATTTTAAAACTGAATGCTCAATATCTTTATAATTAAAACAATGTTGCTCGATTTTTGAAACCATTTTTATATTTTTCTGTATTTTTCTAACAGCTTTAGGAGAAAAAATATAAGATATCTTAAACTAAACTGTGAACAATATCCCTCAGAATGAATGCTATTAAATTATTATTCGCGCTTTTATAGCAATCATTCTTTTATCGTTTATTAGAGTGACCCCGAAATATTTCCACATTATCGATTCGATTATCCCTTATTGCCATATCGTGAAACTCGATATTTATCGTCTTACACGTTATCAAATTTTAAATATTTCTCTATTTTTAAATATACTGCATATGAAAAGTAATATTTAATGTATAAAGTTACATTTTCTTTTTCCAAGAGATGCATTTCAATGTATTAATTTGGTTAGATGTCGTATCTTAATTCTTTTTTTTTTTTATATAATGCTTGGAAAAAAATTAGATAAGAAAATTAATACTTTTACTTGCCAGAAATCGATTTATAGATGTATATCTAAGCTCTTCAAAAGTTCTTGTCGACGTTCGCGATATTACAGCCCATTGTAAGAACGAATGTATTTATCTGAACACATGAATGTGTTATCTTTCAGCGCGATTTAACGTGTTTCTCACGGTGTCCCTTTGGTTCACTCGACAACGATTTTACGACAATTGAGGTCTCTCTTTCTGCTCGCTCGATACTCGGTCTTATCGTTATCGGTTGCTATCAATTGGCAAACGTTAAGCCTTATCGCAAATAGCCTCTGCGCTCTTTATTGCGTTCTAAAACGGATTCCGGGATTAGAGGCGTTCCACGAGGCCCTCAGACCCGACGAAGCGCTTTCGACTATTATTGCGAGACGAAAAGCAAACGCTTCCAACGCTGTCGTCATCGTGCGAAAGTAAATTCGGACTACAAACGCGGCCGGGAAGAATGGTATGCAGTTACAGTGGATTACAGTTAGACCCTGGAAATTGCAGCTGCCGCGGGGGAAAGCGTGGCAGGCAAATAGAGAAGGGCACGCGATCGATTACTAGAGATTCCCCTTTAATCTTCTAGTGGCAAGCGGTAAAATCTCACGAACTTCCTTTCGCGAAAGAAGTGCAAAGCCTCTCCTCGAGTCTACGAGAAAAATAGTTCGGTTACCGAGCGATTAAATCGAGCGGTTAAATGCAACGCGCGCGTGGATAAAATATTTAACTATCTCTTTTAGGAATAAAAAAAGTCAATCTAATTTTACTACACTCTTAGATTCTTTGTCACTTATATGTTGAAATTAATGTCCTCAAGTTCTTAAGAATTTATTTATATGCCACTGTTAAAATTGAATCTTTCAGATAAATGATTATTAATTTAGATTATTTGTAGGCAAATTTTTAATTTAATTTAATAATCGCAATAATTTTTTAAACAAATACAAGATTACGGAAACTAATGGTTAGTATTAAATATGCATGATACATGTGTGTAATACCTATGTATATCGTTCGCGTGTACACTGACACTAACGCAAACACTTTATTTAATACCCAAATATAATATCGAAAATTAAAGAAACAACGCAATTTAGAAACATATTCGAAATTTAACTGAAAACTGAAAACAAGGGTGTCTCGAATCAAAATTACTATCGATACTTACTCTCGTTCACCGTCTAATTACTCGCGACCAAACTGATGACTATTGGCCGAACGGATCGACGATGACGGGTTGACTCTTGGCGTATGGCAAATGGCAGGTGGCGGTAACTTCTCGGGGATTTTATACGCACACAAAAAAAAAGATGCCATGGATGATGGGCCCTTAGCAACAGTTAGCGTGGAAATGATAATTTAATATAGATTTTGCGAAAGACAATGAAAAGATCCCGTTGAACCGCGCGTCAGTGATCATTTTTCATTTAGATGTGAATAACCGAAGAGATTCTCACGATGAAATATACCGAGAACGACTCGAGACGGTAATGATATGTATACCTAAACTAGAGAATTGATGACTGACGCGATCTTTCAAGAATGTCGTGTAACCTCTTAAGCTATATATGACAAACATTTTAAAACACATTCGTGATCTCGAACAATATTTTTAACATCTCAAAAGTATTGATATACCGGGAGTTTTAGAAAAGTCTTCAATTTTTGTTATTTGTATAATTTTTCATGTCAAATACATAGTTTAGGGAATGAAAAATTAAGTTTATAAATTGTTATTATTTCACTTTGCAACTACTTCAAACATCGGTAATTTTTTAAATATTTTTTGCTTTATACATAACGCTCTCTGAAAAACTTCCATCAGACTTCTTCTGCAGACAATTTATTGATAAATTCGTAACAAAGTCATATTTACCACTGAACATTTTAATAATCGAGTTTTAAACTAAAACTGTGTTAAAGAAGACGTTACTTAAAAATAATTAACTGTGAAGTGAGATATTTTGTCACTTGTCTCG